GAGATATTTCCAAAAAAAGCGCAAAAAACCGATTTTTGTGACCTTTGACCTTGAACTTCAATAGTTGCTTACACCCTACCATATGTAGGTTTTGAGACAACTTTTAGGGTGTCAATATACAAGTATTTACAGACTTACAGCTGGGTATCTCGAATTCCGAGGTGAACTTACTATAATCAATATAGTAAACTGACAACTCACCTGTACTGGTTGATTGAAGTCGGTTCGTAGATTTCCGATTTCAACACGGCATTTTCCAACGCCTCATCCAGTTTTTCCTTGTTCGTTCCGTATCTATATCCTTTTTCGTATTCAGCGATAGTTTTATCGTCATCGAAATTGTTCTCAGGATATTGGAAAAGACTTGACGAGATATTGGGAAGAGTATTTCTATTTATGAAGTCGGCTTGCTCTCTTTCCCAATCGAGATCTGGCAGCGATTTCAGATCGATGTTCGCCCCTGGAAAACAAAACGTCTATCAATCTTCGTTAGCTGAATATCCACGATGTTCGATGAATTGCCCGCCAGGATAATCAAGTTAGATTAGGTTTGGACACATCAAAGCATAGACACGTTTTTAATTACAGAATGTATATTAAGTTTAGGATGTTCTACATAAAGAGTTGCTTTCAGAAAATTGTTTATTTCTTCGAACTTATGTGATGAATAACATCAAGTTCACAACATTCCATACTTTCAGTAGACCGTATCATTCGTGCATGTACCAACTCTTCGGTATACATAATTTTCCTGTGGAAATCAACTGACTTGTTTACATACTAACCCACCTTTTCCGTCAAATGTGAATATTGAATTTTTATTGACAGTCTTCTAAGATATACTCGTATCAACTCAAATTCAAGTCACAGTTATACTTCCCCTCACATGCCATTTCTAACTTTATGATTTTTTTCTCGTTCGTGATAACTACGAATTGTACTAGGTATGTTCTCTCACGTATTCTTGAAATTCTATTAACGGTCTCTTTCTACATAATATATGTATATGAAACAATATACAGTTATTTGCCATTTTTCATCATTTGCCCTTCGCCCTATACTTGTCATGAACTTTTCGACTCAAACATATTTTATTCTATGAAATTCATTTACTACATTTGTAATTTGTCCTCCACATACCACTAACTTCGAAATTTGTCTATGCAAAGCTCCCATTTTTCACTAAGTACACCCCTTTAACGTGAGTAAAAATAGGTAATTTCATAATGTATTTAATATTTCTTCCCAACCAATTTCCAACCAGAAAACATCTGAGTGAAGTAAATCAATTGAAATAACTTTGAAAGATCCTACCAATTTTTTATTTTTCTTAGTTGGCACTTACTGATTTTGACAATGACAAGTGGTATCTGGCTGCAACTTCAAATATGCTTCTCATATGAATTTCAAAATTCCCACGTCTCCGCTCGCGATATATGACAATCTCAATATATTATTAACGATAATGCCCTTCATACCATCATCTCTATTTTTTGCTGTCAATAGATTTAACATCCCTTACCACTTTCACTCGATGTACTGCTCGTCACGGTTCGTCTATCAAATATTTCAAATTTTCCATTAGTTTTTTTAATATTTGTTATTTCCTTGTGTTATATATGATACTTTTGAAGTTTGATATTATAGTTTTCGTAATACATAGATGAAATTATTTCAAATGAGTACACACATCAGTCTGTTGTACCTCTTGTTACGGAAGTTCCAACTTATAATTGTGAATGTAGCAAATATCTAATTTGTTTAAATGGCACATTATTGAAGCCACAGTGGAGCGGTATTTACAAAAATCTTCATCAAATATTATTATGGCTTGAATTACAATTACAGTTACTAAATTTACAGATATCTTTGTACTCGTTTATAACAAAAAGATGCAGTCAAATTCAACAAAGAGAATATATTATTATTCTTCAAGTGTGAAATTGGTCAAATTATACATGCAAATTCATCGTGGAATCAATATTCACTTTAAATTGATTACTTTGCGTTTTTTAATCAAATAATTAATAATTATCATTAGAATATCTACTAACACTCCCAGTTATACTGGAAGTCGATTCAAAATTTTCTTATTTCAAATAGTGAAATTTCAAGATTCTAGTATGAGTTCATGAAATATATCTTATACTAATTTTACTATTGAGTAATTCCCCATGAAATTAATGAGTTGGATAGAATAAATGAATGGGTCAGAATTTGCTTTTTTTTAAATCGAATACTTTATATTTCAGGGCAGTTTTGAAATTCTGAGATGATTTTGATCCACTTTCTTGTAATAATTCCTTCGGGTGNGAGCACAGCTTATATCATTAATATATATCAGAAACAAGAGAGGTCCTAAGACACTTCCTTGTGGCACACCAAATTCATTTAATATAGGAGTCGATAAATAGTTGTCAATCTTTGTGATCTGGCTTCTGTTTGACAAATAATCAATAAACCAGTCAAGTACATTACCATCAATGCCAATGCTTTTTAGCTTCATTATAAGAATTCTTCTATCAATTGTTTCGAATGCACGTTTGAGGTCCAAAAATACAGCCACTATATATTGCCCTTGGTCTATTGATTGTTTCCATTTAGTTATTGTTGACTGAAATCCATCATGAAACATCGTCAATCACCTTCGAACAAAAGATGAATTTAAGAATTTTGATGAATCATTGATAACTCTTTTACGTATTCTATTCAACTCGTTTGTTGCATTGTTTTCTTTTTGAAAGATATATTTATATCTTAAGAATGGTCCATTTTTGCTATTAGATGTATTAAATAAATTCATACTAGAATTATGCCAGATGCCTAAAAATAAGAAGCCTGCAATAAATTTGTACAAAACATGAAAATTATCAGTTTTTTTATCCTTACCTACAAAAAGCAAAATTATGTATCTTTCCACATTTAGTCAAATGTAGTTGAAACATTAAATTTTGGCATTCATAAAATATTTTTATTATTTGCACTAAAATAATTTCACAAAAATCACATCTGAAAAAACAGAGTTCTACAATAAACCACTAGCACAACACAACCACAACAAATCTTAACAAACAAGAAATTAACACACATTCTGGTTGCTGCCATTAATATTTTGTGAATGGTTGATTTTTGAAACAGGGAATGGGTCATGACAATCACTCAAAACAATTTCAAAACAGGGTGTTCCATTTGAAAGAACTGAGTTTTGGCCCATTTTTGTATATTCTCAATTAGTCATCGATTCCGATTACCTTGTATAACATTTTGGAAATATTACACCTACAAGAATATGGAATGAAGTATTTTGATGAATCAATAATAGCTCATTCATGTAATTTGTCTCAATTGTTTGACCTAGTTTTTTTTCGTAAACAAATGAATATCTCGAGAATGGTAAATTTTTGCTATAGGTTATATTGCATAAACTCACATTAGAATTATACCAGGTGTTCAAAAATGGAAAAATATACAGGGTGTTACGTTTGAGTTAATGAAGTTGGTATCAACTTTTTTTATAACCGGAAGTGTTGGAAAAACGCCATTATTTTTATCCAATTATTCAAACATTATTTACAGAAGTCATCATTCCTCAAAATGAAATTAGAACTAACGGAAATACTTTGGGTATCAGTTGAAAGAAGTATTCTTTATTTATATTATAATAACAGTGAGTTTTGGAAATGTTTCGGCTGTCTACTTCTCCATCTTCATACAAAAAAATGTGGGTATCTTCCAAAGGAAGGAAGAAAGCAAATAATTCCAACTCTTTTCAAATATTTGTAGATGTGTATTATGAAAAATGAGAAATAAAACTTTTTTTCCACTTGTATTTTTGTAACTAACGTTAGTGCAATTTCTTCCTATCAGGACATTTTCAAACTAATACAATGAACTGAAAATAATTGTTAATGTTAGCCCTTATAAAATATCTAAACACCGCTGTGAGTAATTACATCCGCATTGCTTATGCCTATGAATTTCCAAGAATTCCAAATAATTGAGTTTCCAACCCTTAGATTCGGGAACTTGTGGTTGCATTCCAAGGAATGGTTTGAAAATGTCTCACATAAACATTATTTCGCTCCGGACACTTGAGCTTAAAAGCACCCAGATTTCTCCATCTTGTCCACTTTATCTTCAGCAGGAAATTAAATAACCTGGCATATGGTCTGAGTGCCACTTCCACATTGCTTTTACCAAAATTTTGGTGAAAGAACAGATACAATTGCGGGTCCCGAAGTTCCGACATATTCGGGAGACGCGCCGGCTTTACCAACCACTAACCACTCCCCACACCGTGTGGTAACATTATTATTATTATTATTTTCACCGTAGTGCGCGCTGGTCAGGTCCTATCCCCCGAAGCCCCGATACATTCGGGAGGGCGCGCCAGCATTATCAACCAATGACCACTCCCCACACCGTGGGGTAATTGATCATTGGGTCCGAGAATCATGTGTCCTGAGCAAGCGCAGTGAGCCAAGAATGACAGCCTTCTGAATCTGTGCGGTTAAGAATTCAGCCTTAGTGCGGCAAGCCGGTATGATTTTAAGATTCAAATAATAATAACAACCATCTTAACAGAGTGATCTGGATAGAGTCCGTGGAGTTCGAAGAGAAAATCTCGATATTTTATCCGTTTTTCCTCCTTTTTTCTGGACGATATTCATCTCGCCAGGAGCTGAAAACTCCACGACAAATATCGTTTTGCTCTGGTGGTCGAGAAGGACTACATCAGGCTCATTATCTTGTATGAGCCTGAGGGTGGGGAACAAATAGTTCCAATAAATTCGGCACTTCTCGTTCCCCACAACGGATTCAATATCCCCCGGAGCGTAGGACAACGACGGTGTCTCGTCAATACAGAAAGAGTGCCGTAGATGGTAATATAGCACTCTTAGGGCCGCGTTATGTCGATGGATATAGGTCGAGACCGCATATGCTGGACATGCTGATAGCAAGTGTATTAGGGTCTCGGGCGCCTCGCGGCAGGCCCTGCACTTTGTGTCGGGAACCTCTATACCCATCACGCGACTGCGGTAGACTAAGGTTTTGAAGACACCATCCTGGTAAGCCATGATGAACCCCACAGTTTCTGATTACAGCCAACTCGACCTGAGAAAAGCGAAAGAGAAAATTATTATTATTATGATTTTTTTGTCCGGAGGTTGAGCTGGTCGAACCCTGTCCCTGTGGCCCGATGATGCGCATCAGCATCATAAACCAATGGCCACTCCCCACACCGTGAGTTTAGTGATCATTGGGTGCGAGAATGATGTGTTCTGAGCAGACACAATGAGCTGAAAATGATAGCCTTCTGCATTATTATTATCATTTTTATTATTGACAAATAAAGTGGAAAAATAAGCTGAAACAAAGAAGTTGTGATATACGATGTACACGATATACGATATCCATTCTGGTTTCAAGCATCAAATTGAGATAAAAGAGTGTACAAATGCAATT